CCCCCCCCCCCCCCAAAAAATGCAAAAAGATAAAAAAAAAACAAAACAAAAACACTTTGAAACTCAAAACAAACCTGCTGCATTAGGGATTCCACTGTTCTTTGACAAACCTGCGAGTCCTCTTGGCTTCCAGTGCTCTCATCAGTATTCACTGTCTTTTTGGTCTCAGACTCATCATCGTTTACCTGTTGTTACAAAGAATTATGCATTCCTTTATAATCTAGTTACAGATAAGTTTTAGTAAATGTAAAACAATCCTGCCCTTTCATTCACCAATGTATTGGATAGGCAATGGGATGTGAAACACAGGAATGCTAAAAGAGCTAAAGCAACTGAACAATGTTCTTATTATAATGTTCATTTGATTCAGTCTTTCAGTGTTCCTTCCCATGCTCTCTCTACTGTTCCCTTTACTTCCTCTCTCTCCACCTCAAACCGGTTTCATGCTGTCTCTATAATCTCTCACATCCATTCCTTAAGCATCACATTTATTAATTGTATAGATTCCTTCATTGGAGCTCTTTTTGCACCATCTCTTTTCTGTTTTTATAGGCAAACAGGTATATGTACTGAAAAGGTTCCTCAAAAAAAACTCCAAACACCTAACATACACTAAAGCCCTAGTACACAACAAACTTAAAGCATGATCAACTATGTCAGCGGTTCCCAAATGAGGGTCGCAGGGGCAATGCTGGTGGTGCTGCACACAAAGGACGAGCCGCACCGTGTGCTGGGAGCTCTCCTGGCCCCAACAATGCTGCACTCTGCTTTCAGCAGTGGGTTGCAGCAAAAAAGGTTGGGAACCACTGAACTAGGTAATCGCACCATAAGCTGTGACCCAGCTACATATTCAAGCAATTAACGGTGTGATAAAACAAGCAATAAGCTACAACATTATTCTACAAAAGATGTGTCATAACTTTGCAGCTTGTTCTAATCATGCTATTAATTGAACATCTGGCCAAGTACTCCTCTGTGGCTGGGAGCCCCATCACTTGAGTGGCTCCCAGACACAAGGGTGAATCATCTGCTGCCAGCCCTGCAGCTGACAAGGCTTGTAGCTGGGGCTCTGGCTTTACCTGTGGGGTTCACAGTGGGAAGAACACTATTGGAAGTGTCCTGGGATTCAGGGCTCACAGTAGCAGCAGTGTTCCCCCACATTGCTGCAGGTCCCATAGCCAACACACCTGCAGGGTTCACAGCAGGGAGAACACTGCCCCTGCTGCAAGCCAAGTTAGGTGCTGGGTTTGCAACAGCTGCAGCATTTCCCTGCACTGCTCCTGCTGCAAGCCCCACAGCCCACACAGGTTGCAAGGCAGGCATGGGGGAAATGTGTGGAAAAATGCTGCCACTTCAAGCCCCACACCTCACAAGGCTTGCAGTGGTGGCAGCATTCTCCCACAGTCCCTGCTGTGAGTTCCACAGCTGACAACATTTACAGTGGAGGCAGCATTCCTGACACTGCCCCCACTCCAATGCCTGCAGCCCCTGCTGCAAGCCCTTCTCAGCTGCAGGAGCAGGCTCCCCCTGCACTGATGGTAAGGCATGATGGTAATCCACCACGTGTATGACAGGAGCTGCGACTGTGTGGATCATGCGGTTAGATCCCACTGCACCTTTCCCTGCACAGGTAGAAAGGGTCCGAGCCAAATGCAGCCATGGAACAAGCAGGTGCAAGTCTACAGGAATCAACAGCCTCATATGAATACTATTCAGAATGAAGTTTCATGCTGCAGGCTCTGCAGAAGCATTCACAGATTCATAGATTATTGAGTCGGAAGGGACCCAATGGTTCATTGTGTCCAACCCCCTGCAACTGGCAGGAAAGAGGACCGAGGTCAGATGACCCCAGCCAGGCGACCATCAAGCCTCCTCTTGAAGACCTCCAAGTTAAGTGATAGTACCACCTCGCTGCTAAGATTTTGCAGTGTTTGACATAAATGCCAATGCTTCTTATAAAATGTCCTTCAAGATGCATATTCAGAACCAACAGCTTTCTTAATTAAATACAAATATTAATTTATTACAAGCATATTTTCATATTTATAAGCATTGTAATAGGAAGTTTCTGCCAACATAGAAATGATATGCATTACATGGAACTTCAAATATTTAAAACTCCCACTAATTTCAGTTACAGCAAGGGCTCACTGCTTCTAACAAAAATCAGAGCTTGTGGTCCTTGCGAAGAACATATAAACAATGGAAAAAATGGTTGACTTGATCTTCCTGCATCAGAGGAGGCCAACCTTTTTCAAAGGTGCATCACAGATTAGCTCTGCACTCTCCCTGAGTGCTACTCTGATGCCCTTCCCCGGCCCAATACACTATTCTGCTTTCTGCTCATTCCCCTGTACTCCCTGCTAGATCCGACGCATTGCTTTCTGCTCCATGCTGTATGTGACACTGTGCTGTCTCCTCCCCATGCACCACCCACCTGCAGTGCAAGCAGGCTCCCTTCTTTGCCAGGTGTGCACCTCAGACGCTCCAGCCCCTTCCCAGCTGTTGCAGCATGAGCAAATGAAGAGGGGGAAATAGTGGCTGAGG